CACCATACTATTGATACTAAGAACAAATCTAGTAAACTGCTAAAACCTAACAGTATGTGGTCAAGACTAACAATCTGGGTTCTAATAAATAGAATGATCATAACTCTATCCTAGAAAATATATTTAAAATAAGTAGCAACAGGAAAGTTGGGGATTAAAAAAATGATACTAGCAAAGTAAGGTGTGATTCTGGCTATCTTTATTATTTTATATGGTTTTCTTTTTTTGTTTGTTTGTTTTTGAGACGGAGTTTCGCTCTTGTTACCCAGGCTGGAATGCAATGGCGCGATCTCGGCTCACCGCAACCTCCGCCTCCTGGGTTCAGGCAATTCTCCTGCCTCAGCCTCCTGAGTAGCTGGGATTACAGGCACGCACCACCATGCCCAGCTAATATTTGTATTTTTAGTAGAGATGGGGTTTCACCATGTTGACCAGGATGGTCTCAATCTCTTGACCTCATGATCCACCCGCCTCAGCCTCCCAAAGTGCTGGGATTACAGGCTTGAGCCACCGCGCCTGGCTTATATGGTTTTCTTAACACAGCTGGACCCATTCACATTTGTATATATCCTTAATAACTTCGCAAGGATTATCCCTGACTCATTCATGTTGTTGACCTAACTACATTGAGACCATATTGGAGCTTTTGCCCTCTGAATGTATATATTCATTATTATGTGCCATTAAGTCAGTTTAATGTTCCAACATTGTACTGGAACACTTCAGACTGTTTTAATAAAAACAAACTCGGATGCAAAGAAAGGAAGCAGTATACATTCTGCATTACCTGCATTCCAGCCAGAATAATAGAAAACACAGTACTTACCTAGGGGGCAATTCTACAATCTTATCCTGGTTCCTGCATTACTGCCTGACCCTGGTTAATTTACATCCATTTCTACCTGGCCTGATTACTTCTTAAAGGGTTTTAATACCTGGATATCTATGAGTCAGACATTAGTAAATATATATATATATATATATATATATAATCTTACAACCTTACAAGTAATGTATTCTTGCTCCATTTCAATGACAAACTAAAGATATGACACCAAGTGACTTACCCAAAGCCACACATCTAAAGTACTACCATCAGGATTTCAAGAGTCTGGCTCTCAACCCTCTGCAGAGGTGTTCATTAAGAGTTGAGGCCAGGCAAGGGGGCTCAGCCTGTAATCCCACCACTCTGGGAGGCTGAGGCAGGCGGATCACCTGAGGTCAGGAGTTCAAGACCAGCTTGGCCAACAATGGTGAAACCCTGTCTCTACTAAAAATACAAAAATTAGCCAGGTGTGGTGGCAGGCACCTGTAGTCCCAGCTACTTGGGAGGCTGAGGCAGGAGAATGGCTTGAACCTGGGAGGCAGAGGTTGCAGAGAGCTGAGATCATGCTATTGCACTCCAGCCTAGGTGACAGAGCCAGACTCCACTTCAGAAAAAATAAAAATAAAAAGTTAAAGTACACAAAAATGCTACCATAATATATGACAAAAACGTGTAGTATTTTTAAAGTAGGGAATTATACAATTTACTTCCTACTTCAAGATATTACACAAAGCTAATACTATGTATCTAGTAATTTTTTAAAAGCCATGGCTGTTAAAAATTAACAGTGGTTCATGCCTGTAATCCCAGCACTTTGGGAGGCCAAGGCAGACAAATCACAAGGTCAGGAGATCTTGATGTTCCTGGCCAACATGGTGAAACCCCATCTCTATTAAAAATACAAAAACTGCCGGGCGCGGTGGCTCAAGCCTGTAATCCCAGCACTTTGGGAGATCACGCCATTGCACTCCAGCCTGGGTAACAAGAGCGAAACTCCGTCTCAAAAAAAAAAAAAAACTAGCCAGGCATAGGTGTGTACCTGTAATCCCAGCTACTCCGGAGGCTGAGGCAAGACAATCACTGCAATCTGGAAAGCGGAGGTTGCAGTGAGCTGAGACTGCACTCCAGCCTGGGTTGGTGACAGAGCGAAACTCAGCACCCCCCCCAGCCCCCACAAAAAACACATACAATTGAATTGTATTCATTCTGTATTTCTCTTTAGATAAAATCAAAGTAAAACTAGAACTGATAGCTTTTTTTAAAAAAATCTAGTCATAATTTTGACTTCATTCACACAGGTTTCTTGAATTTTAAGCTAAGACAGACATTTTCCTTAACTTCATGGCAGAACTCATGAGTCTCACCAAACACACAAACACTGGTAACTTGATTTCACTAGTTAACACCTCACGGTATTTATGGAGCCATTCCAGGTGATCATTGTAGCCCTCTCATATTCCTAACAAAATCCTTCTAATTACAACTTGAAATCTGGTGGCCCCAAGTTCTTACTTTATTATCCCAATAGTTTTAAACATGAAAATGCTGCATAGCTTACTGCAATAACTCAATGGCATTTCCTTGCTGCAGCAGCATCTGACACTGCCAGAATAAGAGTTCTATGAAGTGAGACAGCAGGGAAAGAGCGTTCTCCACATAGCAGGCCAGGATGCCTTGGCATCATTCTCCTGGCTCTCTACTTACTGTCAGGAGGCTAGGAAGCGAAAAAAGAGCCAATCATTTTTTAAACTCTCATTCCTGCAGGGGGAAAAAAAGCAAAATATCTTGTGGTCAACTGTTCAGCCAATACACCATTCAATCCAATTAGTCCAGTGGTAGTTTCACTGCTTTTAGGCACCAGTTTGGTACTACCCCATATACATGCCACGTATTTTATTGAACTTTAAAAGCCAGGTAGAATTGTCATAAATCATATAACAAAACACATTTATACTTTAAGATAAAGATCTCCCTGGCTGTTTCAGATGTTCAAATGCCAGTGTAAGAAAAACCCCTGGTCTTCCACTGATTTGGTTCAAAATATTTTACAGACTGCACCATATGTTTGAAATATATCACCTCTCCTGTTGCCAATACGAAAAGAAACGTGGACCTTTGGTTCCTCAGAAAAACACAAACATAACTGTTACTTTTTTTAAAAAAGAAAAACTGTTATCAAGCGATGAAATCTGGAAAACTTAAAAGTCTTTAATTCTGCCCTTGGGAATCTAATAAATTATTCCTTTTATATTCCAATACACAAAGAACTCTTGTAGACAAGAATCAGACTCAACAAACTAAAAATAGCATGTACCTAGGATCCTGGCAGTTTACACGTGTTTCATTAACCTTAACTAGAGCAACTCATTAGAAGCATTTAAAACTATTTAGAAGTGGGGAGGGGGAAGCCTAGGTGATAAGGACTACATCTCTTACCTTTTTGAAACCCTCAAAGCTCTACGCTCCATTTTTACTACTTAAGCAAATAAATAACATAAAACTGCAAATTTAAATCCTAGGATTAATTCCTTGATGGAAATATTAACTGGTTATGTTTCACTCCAAAATTGGATCAAACAATACGAAAGGGGAAAAATCTACTTTTAAAAACGTAATTTAAGAGCAAGATGGGGATACACATTAGGCGACCTTCACTTTGAAAAAGACAAAAAACAAATTCAGAGTTTTGGCTGCGTATCTCTTCTGAGTCCTTCAGAATAATGACTGAAACACACTAGCTGAAATCACAGACGATTACTGAGCAATGTTCTCTTTTTACAAGACCCCCCCCCCCTCAAGACCAGCAGTCACTTCCTTTGGAAGTGCCCTGTGGCTGAGGCCATGTGGTTAACATGTGGCAACAAGCACAAGCCTTACCCATCAACACCTAAACCCAAATGTGGAGAATTATGCCATTCTAAAATAGGTTTTCACGATATGGAAAAATCTAGATGGAGGATGGCAAATCGAATTTCATGTCTGTCTCGTTTGTAATTACATCTGTTTCGTTAATCCAAGAAATGATGCAAAGACTACCGACTGCTACTATGGTTTTGGAGGATTGACAAATTCGTGTTTTTTTCCTGGTAATGGCGCTTTTAAGGGATCCCAGCAACTTAAATCGTGTTGACTCAGGGAAAGTGAGCCCCATTAACCCCTTTTCGAATGCTAATGTAAGACAAGCAACTTAGTATCTAAATAACGATAAGAATACTAGAAACGGGAACCATCAGGTATGGGGAGTACAACCTCTAAAGGCTCACAAGTCTTTCAGCGGTGTCTGGCCACCGGAAACACAAGGGCGTCTTCAAAAACCCTTTTCTTTTCTTTTTTTTTTTCTTTCTTTCTTTCTTTTTTTTTTTTTGGTGAGACAGTCTCGCTCTGTTGCCCAGGCTGAGTGCAGCGGCGCGATCCTGGCTCACCACAACCTCCGCCTCCCGGGCTCAAGCGATTCTCCCTCCTCAGCCTCCCGAGTAACTAGGCCTACAAGCGTGCACCACCATGACCCGCTCATTTTTGTATTTTTAGTAGAGACGGTTTTTCACTATGTTGGCCAGGCTGGTCTCGAACTCCTGACCTCGCGATCCGCCCGCCTCGGCCTCCCAACGTGTTAGGCTTACAGGCGTGACCCACTGCGCCCGGCCTAAGAACCCTTTTCTAGGGCCCCCAAAACCCTTGGCACATTGCCCGTCAGGCTCACGACCCCAGCACATGGTCTGCACGGCTGTACCCACCCCACTCCCCCTTCGTCCGCAGCCAGGAGCCTTTCCCCACAACGCGGACTCCTTCCACCGAGTTCCCGCCAAATCCACCCTCTGCCCCTCACTCCGCGACCCTCGACGCATCAGGGCCTCAGCCCCAAGGGCGCACGGGCCCGGGCCTCCCCGGCCCTAAGCTTGCGGCCTGGGGTGCGGCCCTGGCGCCCAGAGGCCCCCACGCTCGGCGACCCAGCTTCCCAGGACGAGGAAAGGGCCGAAGTGTCGTCCGACAGCGGTGGGCCAGAAACTAGGGTCCGAGGAGGCGGCAGCAGCCGAGCTTCCCGCCTGACGCAGCAGCGGCGCAGGCCAAAGTGCAGCCGCCATCGCCGCCTCGCCGCTCCCTACCCTCTCTGTTCGCCTCAGAACCGGTCCGCACTGCGGTTCCCTCCGCGCCAGCCCCCTCCCCCAGCCCTCACCTTCCGCGTCGGAGCGGACCCGCAGCGACGGAGTCTCAGACGCAGGCCTGCGGAAGACGGCTCGCAAGGTAGCGGCTGTTTATTTTGAGGGTCCTTGCCTGCGCCACACGCGGGTCTGCACACGGCCCCACATACGCCGCTGCGCACGGCTCTCCTCCGCCTCGCCCACGCGGCCAATCAGCGCGCGGGGTTCGGCAGTCCAATCAGAGACGCTCTCGGGAGGGCCGCCCAGCTGAAGCGCAGCGCGGCGCGGGGCGGGACTGGTGTTTCTGCGCGCCGCTGCCCTTCCCGCCGTGCCACGCGCGCGGCCTTTCCCGCCGGGATTATGGTCCCCGTGGTCCTCGGGCCCTTCCTGGATGGGTCCGGGCTCTGCCTGACTGGACGGAAGTCTGGCTGTCCCCGCCTTGGTGGTCTCTCTTGCCAGCCGGAGCCTAGGGATGCCAGGGGACGGGTCTCGGTGCAGTGACTGCGATTATTATGCGACCACAAAAAGTTTCTCCTCGTTCTCGGGCTCCTACCAGGCCGTTGGCTTTCAGAGCCGGGCCCGATTTCCAGATGCGTTTAAGTTGGCAGAAAAGGGGTGCCAGGTCACGATGGTGACGGCTGTGGGATGCAGGCTCTAAGATTTGTATTGTTTTTTGTGAGCCGGGGAAAGGCCTTGCTGCTTTCTCCGCCAGGACTGATGTATCTTCCCAAGATGAAAGTGCCTGGTGAGGGCGAGGGGCCTCCGTGGGAAGGTCATGAGCATGGAAGGGAGTGGGGCCCAGACTATGACGTTTATCTCGTTTATGAGTGACATCCCGCGGGAGGGCCAGGACAACCATTTGACCTGGTCTGTCATATTCAGGAATTGACTTCAGTTTGGATTTGGTATTTTCTCCAAAAGACATGTGTGTATATAGTCCTAGATAGTCTTGTCAAGATGAAACCCAATTTCAATTGTTCACTATAAAATATTTTAGAATTTTGTGTCTCATTCTAGAATGGCTCTGTTTGAAACAAAACAAGAGTTCCAAGTCTCATTGTTTTGACCCAAGTTTCATCTCAGTGGGATCCCCCAGTTGAATGCTATGATTTCTTTTTCTGTGTAAGAGTGGGGTCTCGCTCTGTCGCTGGCGTTACAGGCATGAGCCGCTGCTCCTGGATCCCAGTGTTATGATTTTTGAAATCATGGTTTTGAGAAGGCAGAGCACATGTGTTGAGAGTCAGGCATGAAACCTGGGTTCAGATCACTAGTGATGACTTAGTCATGGTAAAGCAGTTAGCAGATTGTGTTCAATATAGCAGTTATCAAAGAATGAAGGTATAATTTTAAGGACCAATGATATTTTAAACTTTTTTTTTCTTTTTGAGACAGAGTCTCGCTCTGTCGCCCAGGCTGGAGTGCGATGGAACGATCTTGGCTCACCGTAACCTCTGCCTCCCACGTTCAAGGGATTCTCCTGCCTCAACCTCCGCCATCCCGAGTAGCTGGGATTACAGGCATGTGCCACCACGCCCGGCTAACTTTGTATTTTTAGTAGAGTAGTAGAGTTTCTCCATGTTGGTTAGGCTGGTCTCTAATTCCCGACCTCAGGTGATAGGCCCACTTTGGCCTCCCAAAGTGCTGGGATTACAGGCATGAGCCACTGCGCCAAGCCCAACTTTTTTTTTTTTAATGGAACGCTTCACGAATTTGCGTGTCATCCTTGCGCAGGGGCCATGCTAATCTTCTCTGTATCGTTCCAATTTTAGTGTAAGTGCTACCGAAGTGAGCACCCAGCCCAACCTTTAAAATTTATTTTTTATTATTATTTTTTGAGACAGTGTCTCCCTCTGTTACCCAGGCTAGAGTGTAGTGGTGCTATCTCAGCTCACTACAACCTCTTCCTCCCGGGTTCAACCAATTCTGCCTCAGCTTCCCTAGTAGCTGGAACTACAGGCACCCACCACCATGCCTAGCTAATTTTTGCATTTTTAATATAGATGGGGTTTCACCATATTGGCCAGGCTGGTCTTGAACTCCTGGCCTCAAGCGGTCCAGCTACCTTAGCCTCCCAAAGTTCCGGGACTGCAAGTGTGAGCCAACTCACCCAGCCTTAAACATTTTTTTTAATTATTATTTTTCAAGACGGGATTTCACCATGTTGGTGAGGCTGGTCTTGAACTCCCAACCCCAGGTAATCCACCCGCCTTGGCCTCCAAAGTGCTTGGATTACAGGCGTGAGCCGCCATGCCCGGCCTAACAGTTTTTTAATAAAAGCAACCTAAGGTAAAATTTTTTAATCAAAGCAATCTAAAGTAAAAATGTTTTTAGATTCAGTATAAAAAGTCTCCATTTCCAATCAGATTGAATAAATGCCTAGCAGCTTATGTATTTTTTTTTGAGGAGGAGGAGTTTCGCTCTTGTTACCCAGGCTGGAGTGCAATGGCGCGATCTCGGCTCACCGCAACCTCCGCCTCCTGAGTTCAGGTAATTCTCCTGCCTCAGCCTCCTGAGGAGCTGGGATTACAGGCACGTGCCACCATGCCCAGCTAATTTTTTGTATTTTTAGTAGAGACGGGGTTTCACCATGTTGACCAGGATGGTCTCGATCTCTTGACCTCGTGATCCACCCGCCTCGGCCTCCCAAAGTGCTGGGATTACAGGCTTGAGCCACCGCCCCCGGCGCAGCTTATGTATTATGCTAAAACACAATATATTATTTGCCAATAATAAAAGAGTGTTTTGTATTTATGTAGTTTTATTACCAAGAAGCTTACTCAGCTTTATAGATTTCCCCTCTGTAATCTGATTAATCTTTATAGTGTCTTTTTTTTTTTTTTTTTTTTTTTTTGAGATGGAGTTTCGCTCTTGTTACCCAGGCTGGAGTGCAATGGTGCGATCTCGGCTCACCGCAACCTCCGCCTCCTGGGTTCAGGCAATTCTCCTGTCTCAGCCTCCTGAGTAGCTGGGATTACAGGCACGCTCCACCACGCCCAGCTAGTTTTTTGTATTTTTAGTAGAGACGGGGTTTCACCATGTTGACCGGGATGGTCTCGATCTCTTGACCTCGTGATCCACCCGCCTCGGCCTCCCAAAGTGCTGGGATTACAGGCTTGAGCCACCGCGCCCAGCTTATAGTATCTTGAGGTAATGTACAGTGTAGCAATCAGCCACTTAGGTAGTGACTTCTGAACTCTAACAATGAGTCAACATAATGCAAGAGGCTGTGTGTGAAGTCCAACCTGGGTGTGTCCACACCACACCAAGAGGACAAGTTAAAATTGCCATAGGAGCCAAAAATTAATATTTTCAGACTTATTTTTGTTTACTATTCCAACCATAGTGCTGTATAAAATATTTGCTATTCCTTATAGATGCAGGAATGGAATATTCCTAATATTAAAATTTTTTTCTGCATGTAGGTAAGCAAAAACAAAAAATTTTTTTACAGCTATAGAAAATGAAAGTGAGTGTAAGAAATAGAGATACTGGACATAATATTCTATAGGTTTTAAAAGACTTTAAGGAGAAGAAATGGAAATATAATGTAGTCTTTACTTCTTGGCACTGGAGTAGTAATAGCTAATGGCTCTTTCTACCTGGCATGCAGCTTCCTGTAATGACTATTATTAATAGAGCCAGGCTGATCGTGAGACACCATGACTATCTCCAGGAAAGGTGTATGGTGGAATTTAACTACAATGGCTTCTATTGCCTGAATATGCCCTTTGGTACACCTATTTTACTAGAGATGTGTGAAAATAGGAAAAAGTCTGCTCACTCAAAAGATAAGCTGCCAGTGGGACTTTAAGAGGCTCCCATTACATTCCCCTTCCCTGAGATGTTTTATTCCCCTCCTCTCCTCCAGTGTTCAGTCTCATGCTCAGCATTGCAGGGGTTACAAAAGTGACTAGTTAAGACACAGAGTGTGCCCTTGCAGAACTTGCAGGATAACAAGGGTCATAGAAAGTATTAAGTGTCCTGAGAGAAGACCAGCTAAAATGCTATGATTCAGCATCATTCCTAAAATGGGTACCAGTTGAGCAGCAATACCTGCCAACTCTTAATTTCTGCTTAAATGCCCAAATGCAGAGTACATGCCTTAGATTCTGCTGTTAAATTGAGGGGACAGGTGATATCATATAAACCCATGTCTTGTTTTCCCTGACAGCAAGGAAATGGTGCTCTATGACTTTTATTTGGAAAGCATGTAACTCAGACTGAGGAGAATTAGTTGATGTTTTCACCTCTCATATTTGCTTCTGAAGCAGAAAATTTACTAAGCTAAATCCTGAACTAGGAATTAGTAATACTAGTAATAGCTAATTGTTAATATATATACAGCTTTTATAGTCGTTCCCGGCATAAAGTAATTAATATTTAAATATTATTTCTTTTCTTATTTATTGGGTGCTTACCATATGCCAGGCAATGTTTTTAACCTCTTTTTATTAAATTTTTGTTTTTTAAGACAGAGTTTCGCTCTTGTCGCCCAGGCTGGAGTGCAATGGTGCGATCTTGGTTCACTGCAACCCTCTGCCTCCCATGTTTAGGCAATTCTCCTGGTTCAGCCTCTCCAGTAGCTGGGATTACAGGCATGTGCCACCATACCTGGCTAATTTTGTATTTTCAGTAGAGATGAGGTTTTTCCATGTTGGTCAGGCTGGTCTTGAACTCCCAACCTCAGGTGATCTGCCCTCCTCGGCCTCCCAAAGTGCTGGGATTACACGCGTGGGCCACTGCGACTGGCCGTTTTTAACCTCTTTATAAGTTTTCACAAACTCCCTAGAAGTACTTTTATTATCCCCATGAGGAAACAGGTTGAGAGACTTCAAGTAATCTGCTCAAGGTCAGAAAGTGAACAAATGACAGGTCAGGCTTCAAACACAGACAGCCCGTGTGCTTGAACAGTGCTGCTGGCCTCCCAGTCTAACCAAGGCCTAATCCTATAAAATTCCATTGACTCCCTAAAGTGGTAGTGTAGGGAATGCTAACTGATGATAAAGAAAATATGAAACACTGACAAATCATTTAATGAGCATTTCATTAGTTGGCTTCCTCCTCTGACCTTGAATTGAAACTCTCTACTGCAAACTAAGTAGTTAGAGAAAAATTGTATTTGCAAATAATTTTGAAAGTTTCAAAGTAAAACCACCCGTCCTTTTTTTCTTTTTCTTTTTATAAAATAAAGGAATAGGCCGGGCGCGGTGGCTCACGCCTGTAATCCCAGCACTTTGGGAGGCCGAGGCGGGTGGATCACG